TGAGGCGCGAGCAGGAGAGACGTGAGCAGGAGCTGAGGCGCCAGGAGCCGCGCTTGGAGCAGGAGCTGAGGCGCGAGCAACAGCTGGCTGAGGAGGAGCCGGGCAAGAGCCGCACCTCCAGGTGGCAGTGGCAGCTAGAAAGCGAGGCCGACGCCCGTCAGAGCAAAGTCTACTCCAGGCCCCGCAGGCAGGAGCAGCAGAGGCAACTCCAGGAGCGCGAAGAAAAGAGGCAGCGCCTGGAGCTCGAGCAGCAACTGCGGGAGGAGGACGCCCAGTGGCGAAGCCGGTCCGGGTCCCTTCAGGAGGAGCGCCAGCAGCGCCTGCGCCGAGAGGAGCAGGCACGCCTGCAGGAGGAGGAAGAGAGCGAGAGGCGTCGCCAGAGGCTCTCGGCCCGGCCGCAGTTGCGGGAGCAGCAAGAGAGGCAGCTGAGGACAGAGGAGCTGCAGGATCTGGAACTGCTCCGTGAGGAGGAGCAGCAGCGCCGCCAGCGACTGGAGAGGGAGCGGGAGCAGCAGATCCTCGAGGAGGAGCAGCAGCTCCGGTTGGAGCAGAGCCTCCAAGAGGATCGGGAGAGGAAGCTGCGCCGGGAGGAGCAGCGCCGTGACCAGAAATGGAGGTCGCAACCAGAAGAGGAAATCCAGAGGCGCCGCCACACAGTCTACGCCAAACCAGCTCAACGAGAGCAGCTGCAGAGAGAGGAACGCGAGGAGAGGAGGCGCCAGGAGAGACAGTATCGGGAGGAAGAGCAGCTGCAGCAGGAGGAAGAGCAGCTGCTGAGAGACAGGAGGCGCCAGCAGGGTGGCAGGCAGTATCTGGAAGAGGAAGAGCTGCAGCGCCTGGACAGGAAGAGGCAATTCCAGGATGAGGATCAGCGCCGTGATCTGAAATGGCAGTGGCAACCAGAAAAAGAAAATGAAGTTCGTAATCACAGGGTTTACTCCAAACGCAAAGTGAACGAAGATAAACTCCGGCAATTGGAAGATTCTCAAGTTCGAGACAGACCATTCCGGCAGGATCAGTGGCTCCTGCAGGATGAACAGAAAGAGGAGAGAGCGCGAGATGAAGAGAGAACCCGGCAGCAGCGCGACATGCAGTTCCCAGCTGAAGAACTGCTGGAGCGAGAAGACCAAAAGGAAGCCAAAAGGCGAGACAGGAAGTTCCTTGAGGAAGAGCAGCTCCTGCAGGAAAGGGAAGAACAGCTGCGCCGCCAGGAGCGCGACAGAAAGTTCCGCGAGGAGGAACAGCTGCGCCGTCAGGAGCGCGACAGAGAGTTCCGTGAGGAGGAGCAGTTCCCACAGGAAAGAGAACAGCTGCGCCGCCAGGAGCGCGACAGAGAGTTCCGTGAGGAGGAGCAGTTCCCACAGGAAAGAGAACAGCTGCGCCGCCAGGAGCGCGACAGACAGTTCCGCGAGGAGGAACAGCTGCGCC